TTGATGTTTATCAAGGTTGATAAATAAAAGCTCTCCCAAGATCCTTACGTGTATACAAGTATACATATAAACACACACACTCAAAACATCAAGCTTCATCTCCTAAAAGGTGAGAAGGAAAAGAGATGTTTATTTTAAAGACATTGGATACTTTGGTAATAGAGGAAAAGATTTTTTGCTCTTAAGAACCTAATTATGTGTTCTCTTCAGTCTCACTCCACTAAAATTCACTGTTCCTCAAGCCTGAAAGTACACCATTATATAATGTATTAACTTGGTTTTAAAAATGTAGTTTGTCATTTTATGACACCTGGACAGCAATTTCTGTGCCTCAGCAATAAACAGTTTTATTACCAGTTAAATTTCTGTGTAACTAGGAGTCTTATTTTGTGTCCCAGTTATAGTTTCCATGAGTTAGAGTTCAATGCTGCAGAATCTCAAGCCTGCTTTTCTAAGGAAACAATATGTAAGCAGTTGTGCATGCCATCCACCTGTCAGATCCACACTGAGTCCACTGTTCAGTTTCAAAGAATTGCACAGGAGCTAGAATGCTCTAAGACTATTTAAATTCTTCATGAAGATTGGCAGTTGCTGAGTGACAGAAATCAGAGAAAGGCATCCTTTGAGGAAAAAGTTTCAGGGTAAGCTTGGTATTTTTCTGTGATGCTAGTGGGCCTGAGTGGTGTTTTTCTGCTTCTGTACAAGCTGCAGCACTTTCTGGGAGGGAGGAGAAACAGAGCATGGAAGGATGGGTCCCTTTAGCCTGAAGAGAGGTGTAGAGACATGACCCAAACCCACATGAAACTAAACATGATTTTTTTTTTTCCAGATAAATTTCTATCTTTCTGAGAAACCCCAGTGACACTTTAATATACATAAAGGATGTAGAGCTGGAAGATCTTATATATTCATACAGTAGTAATTTTCCCAAGGAGGGAAAACTAACAGTTCCTAATAATAATAATATATTCTACTAAGATTAGGAACTTCTAGTAGAATCTACTTGGATGGGACAGACTGAATGTCCTACTTTACATTCTGGAGGCATTTGTATCTCTTCAAAAATCTTGTCCCTCAGGTTTTTATGTCGTGCTCTTTAGCAACCTCTGAAATAGTTTTGGCAGACTGTATAAAGTTAAAGAGTTAGGTAGTATCTCTACTGAATAAATAAATACAGGAAAAACTTCTAGCACATTTGCTTTCACTGCTAGTGACAGCCATTATGACATGGACAGGGAGGGAAAGAGCACCCTAATTTCCCTTACATGGGTTTTAGAGGCCTTACCATACGGCCATACTGGCAGGAAAACTTAGAAAAAGCATGCACAGCCCATTCTACAGCAGTTCTCTGTGTAAAAAGTGAACTTTAAATCAGAACAGTTTGTGTTTCACAAACACTGAAGTTATTAGTACAAAATAATATGTCTGCAGCTTTTTGAGCTTATTCAAATTGCTTCTGGAATGTTGAAGTCAATTGTATTAGACCACTTGAGGGATGGTGTAGTTTGCTTTCCATAAGCAAAGAGTGGGAAGAAAAGTAGAAAAGTAAATCTCTGATAATTAAAATATGTTCTAATGGAAATGTGGACAAGCAAGCTTGCTCCTCTCATTGGTTTTGTGTAAAAAAAAAAATCAGTAATTTGTATTGATAAGAATAGCTGTCACTTACATGCTTTTCCTTAAGCTTCTTCCTTGATATTGTAATTTGGTATTTCTGAAACAAATTACCAGACAAAATTACATGACTCAACTATGCAATTAGTGATGAGGGTATATATGTTGCAAGCACAGTGCAATCACATGGATAGGATGTGGGATCAGAAATTCTATCAGACTACACTTGCTTATACGTTCATCTACTTGCTTGGTAAGACTCTGATGTGTTGCATGAGTGACGATCTCTAAGCGTTAGTCTGGAGTTTTCCTCTGGATTATCAGAATTAACAGCTGCAGTCAGCTGGTCTCAAAATCCCAGGACTTGGATTTATGAAATATTATAGTGATGGTGTGTTTACCTCCTCCCCTGTGAATGCACCTAACACTGATAGCAGCACCATTTTAGACAAAAAAACCACAATCATTTTCCGTTACCAGTAGCACTGAGGGTCACATAGAATAAATCTACACAGTGCAAATAATGGGATAAGTTAATGATATATCAGTTATTAATTAAACTATCACAAGAAGGCATTATTCAGAGACTCCATGAAGGAATAGAAATGAACAGTTGTCCCAGATTGTAACTTCACTACAAGCAACATATACATTATTTTGGGTGGAAATAGGCTACATACGGAGATTATGTTACATAAAACAGGTGGCACAGGTGCGCATTGCCAGTTTTGCAGCTAATGAAATAGTTTAGGGAACAATTTATTGTTTATGTAGAAATTTTTCCCGTTACTTTGTTCACAGAGTATTTTGTGTATTACATAGATATTTTTTAAAGTTCACAATATAATTTGAAGCATATAGAGCTAAGAATGCCTGGTTATCTATGGATGTGTCTTGAAATTTACATTTACACTCCTTGGTGTCTAAAATGGGCATTTCTCTGAAGCATTTTTCTAACTTCAGGCAGTATTGAGGCATCTGTTTCCCTGAAGAATTTTTAAGTACTTTATGCCCAAATCAAAGTTGGTTTTGGTCAGCCAGTCGTTCAAAAAGTTATTACAGTGGGAATTCACTCCTAGTCCATAGTTGTGTTCTACAAGGATACCAGGTTTAAATGCCTGTATTTATTTGTTTAATTTTGCATGAACAAATCTGTCCCTTAATCTACTGGGTATATTGTTTTAAAGTCATTGAAAATGGGGCATGAAGTCATGTCATAGATCACAAACTGACATATATCTCAAAATAGGTAAAGGGTCATTTGACAGATAAATGTGTCTTCTTGCTGTAGTGAGGGAGGGGTTAGTGTTTAATGAACATTTTTAAGTAGGTTCATTTATAAAGTAACATGCAAACTGTAAGAAATATTCAACAAACTGTATTTTATGTTATAGAAAGTTTAAATCCTTTTCTACAAAGACAATGGGGTATCAGACAATCTGTGTATCTGACAAAGAGCTTGCCTATCAGAGACTTTATTCTGGGAGGTATGGATTAATCACTTCATAGCCCATGCTTCAGCATTGTTTCCAGAACTTTAATAATCTACTGATTTGAATTTACATTTTTAAATACATATTTAATATTTTATGCTTATAAGCTTGCTGTGGGAATTAATTCAAAAGACCCTAACATGATAATTATGATTTCAGAATAAAATATTTTTCCATATTCAAACTTAATGGTTGAAGCTGATTTGATTTTCAAAAATCAAAACAATTCAGTAGACAATACACAAAGCACAAAATCTTAGAGGAGCAACCAAATGGTCAATTAAGTTATAAAATAGATACCATTCAAAACAGAGTCATAAATTTTCGAAATCTCTTAAATCTTTTAGATCTCTAGGTTGCTGTATTACCTACTGCTTTGTACAACCTAGAAGTTAATGGTTATACAGAATGAGGCATTTTCTGGTTAGCAAGGGAATTAGTTATGTTTAATTGGTTTCCTGGTAATCTGTTTTGTGATATTTACCTTCAAAGCAAAACTGATCAGTAGACAAAAAAAAATCCTCCTACCCACCAGCAAAGACTGGAGAGAGCCTTTGTTTTGTGTGAAGAGCAGAATGGCTGCAGCTATGCTATTTCCTAAGATTCTTGGCAAAGCACTGTAGAGAAGTGCTGCATTGACAGGCAGGAGTTGCTGCTTCAATCCCTTCCCCCAGGGGAGGATGAGGAACAAGGTGAGTAATGAGAAATGCGTGTCTAAGTGAAACCTTCAGTGCAGAAGGACTGTCTGTGGCAGTCGATGCCTGCGTATGCAGTTATTGATAATTATTAAAACCGCCACAGAATTTCTGGACATCTTGCTTATAATATTAAAAAGTAACTCAGGATCAATAATTTAATTTTTTTTTTAACCTGCCAGACGCTGTCTCGTAACGGTGCGGCCAGGTCCTTTCTGCCCTTCCTGACACTGGCAAACGTCAGAAGGACCAGAACAATCATGGATAACACAAAGAGCTTTTTTTACTGGTGTATCTCACCAGTCCTCCACACCAGATGCAGTATTTAGCCCTTCTAAAACAGCATGTGCTGTGTTTTCCCAGCTTTCTGAATTGTTTTCCGAGAGGTTATTTCCAGCGCCCCGGGCAGCAGGCCGGCCGCGCAGCGCGTCCCGCCCGGCTCCAGCGGGGCGGCGTCTCAGTGTCGAGAGCGCGCCGTCCCGCTGCTCGGGAACACTGCTTAGCCTCAGAACGCTGCCTAGCCTCGGAACTCCCGTCCGCTCCCGAAAGCTACCTGGAGTTTCGGTAATGCACTATTAGCAGGTCGTATTCGCCTTTCTGCGGTGCTGTAAAGCTATCACAAAGACCGAGGTCAGGGAGCAGCAACACGTGAGGTTTCCACACGCAATCTAAGACCAATTTCTCCCCCTTTATCTCTTTAACACTATCGCTGCCTCCCGGGACACTGAAGACTACCTGTGGGGCACTGGTGGCACTGCGGGGGCGGGTGCCATGAACATCCTGGGGCAGGGGAAGCAGCGGGGCGCTGCTGCTGTGCCCCGGGAGCAGCGGGGAGCACTGGGGACACTGTCACCACTCGTTCAGCCCCCTCACGGCGGGGTCGCTCTCCCGCCCCCGCCGCGCGCCACCTACGTGCCTCGCGCCCCGTCGCGCGCGCCGCCAGAACCGGGGCGGGGCCAAGCAAGGGGCGGGCGGGGAGCGGGGGGGGGGGGGGGGGGGGGGGGGGGGGGGGGGGATGTGTGGTGGCGACGCGGCCTCATCTGCGCATGCGCAGGAGGCTTTCACCGGCACGTGGGGCGGGGCGCGCGCGCCGCGCGCTGTGCCCCGGTTGGCCGGGGAAGGCGCACGCGCCGGAGAGAGCTTCAGGCCCCGCCCCCAGAAGGGGCGGGTACCCGGCGGCGCAGCTCGCGATTGGCGGGGCTGGCGTCTGCGCGCGGGGAGGGCGGGGCGGCGGGCGCGGCCGGGCCATGTGTGCCGGGCGCCGCCGCAGAGCGGCCGCAGCCGCCGCCGCCGGCAGCGCCGCGCCCGCCCCGGGGAGCGGCGCAGAGCCCGGGAGATGTTCTCCTCTTGGGGCTTCCCCTGCGGCCGCATCCGCCTCGCCGGCCGGACGGCAGCTCGGTGCTCCGCCCTGGTCCACCAGCGGACGGCGGCTTCCTCCGCCACGCCGTGGCTGCCGCTGCTCGGCGGCGCCCACCGGCGCCTACTCGCGCTCGGCGGGCTGAGCCCCTTCGCGGCGGCGGCGGCGGCCGGGCGAGGGGCGGCGGGGGCCGCACCGTGCGCCTCGGGGGCGGCGGGGGGCGGGTTCCGGCCGTCGCGGGTGGCGGTGGTGGTGAAGACGACGCGGTACGAGTTCGAGCAGCAGCGGTACCGCTACGCCGGGCTCTCCGAGGAGGACCTGAAGCAGCTGGTGAGCGGCGGGAGGCGCCGGCGGTCCCGGCCACCGAGGGCGCTGCCGCGGGGCTGCAGCAGGGGTGGGGAGTACCCAGGGTGATGCCCGGTTCCGGCGAGGGATGACAGGGGGGATGCCCGACATCGGAGCGGCTCCCGGGGTGATACCCGGCTCCGAGGGCGCCGCCGGGCCGCTGTGTCCGAGTGTCCCTGGTGCTTCCCCGGGCCTTGGTCGGGCGGAGCTGGCGGCCGTGGAGGTGAGTGGGGTCGCGGCCGCTGTCCCTGGGCTCTGGCCGAGCGCTGCCCCCGCTGCCGGCGGCTCTGCCCTCCCGCCGCCTCTCCCCGGCCCCCGGTCCCGATGCAGCCGCCGAGTGGCGCGGCCTGGAGAGGGGCACGAGTGGCGCCGCTGGGCATTCATCGCTTGCAGGCTGCCGAGAGATCTGAGTTTGGGTTTTACCCTTGGAGGGATTCCAGCGGCCCTCAGTAAACTGCAGTCCTTTTCTTACTGTATGTAGTATAAAGATTAGAGAAGTGCATGCTGAGGAAAGGGCAGTGTTGCAAAAAATCCCCTCTGTGTCTTAGCGTGGACTGATGCGCATTTCTTCCGTTTTCTTGCCTCACATCTTTACTCCATCCTTACGTATTTTCCTCCATTCACACAGCCAGATCTCTCTCAGATCCACCCTTCTTGTTACAGGTTTTAGAAAAGCCTTTTTCTTTAGTCTCTAAGGAACCTTTAATGTAAAGGTCCATTACTGAAGGTATACTAAGGAAAGCAAGTGTCTCTGAGAGTTGATACGTGCACCCAGTGTCTTGTCTTCATCCCCATCAGGCTCAGTGACCTCACCCAGTACTCCCTTTACCTGGTGGCTGCCTTCCAGTGTTCATCTGCCACCGGTGGGCTGAAAGGTGGTACCTGCAGGAGTTACTTTGGCTGCCAGCAGTCTGAAGTCCATGTCATGAGCTCATATTATTAATTTATCCACACATTCGTTTGTGTCTGGCAAGTCTTTGGTCGCTTAAAACTTACTGTTTTAGAGCTCTGTTAGTTTGCAGTGTTTGGATTAAATTGGTAGATGTGCTTAACTTATGTAGCAAGGACGAATGACTGCATAGCCTTGCTTTGTAAAGAATTGGGGTAAAATGTACAATATCTACAGCAATGTCTGTGTGCTTCAGTTGGTCATCTACCTCCTATGGAATTCCTGTCCACATATTTTTTACATGTTTTGTATAGCTGTGTAGTCATAGTTCAACAAGTTGAATGTCAGTCTGTGTTGATTCTCATGTAGCTTCCTGTTGCTGAGGTGTCCCAGTACTTCCTTTCATACCGTGGTTAGGGAAAAAAAGGTCTCTCACAGCCCAACTGTAAGACTTTTTCTTTTCATTTAGCTATTTGTGAGAAATTATTTCTTCTTGTTGAGTATAGAGGTTGTCCTCAGTGTGCAGCTAAGCCCAGGAAAAGCAGACTGGGTTTGTTAGGTTATTTTTCCTTAGCTGCCTCTGTACAGGCAGGACTGGGACACTGAATCAGTGAGCAGCATTGCACATCCTTTAAGGTGCTCATGACTGAATGTAGTGTTAGCTGCAGTTTCTTTTCTCATGAGAATGCATATTTTGAATGATTGGTAACCTGTGAATGTGCTTTTTTAGAGAAGTAACTATGAACTCCGTGGGTGATTATAATTGTTGTAGAAACACCTTAGAGTTTGTCCTTTTGGAGAAACTTACAGGTAGACAATAATTCTTGGTATTTGTGACAATTCTAGGACTTTTCTAGGACTGGTGCTTTTTTAACATCTACCTTTCCCATTAAAATACTGCCTTGTGAGGAATTGCAGCGATAAAACTTAGTGTTGCCAGGTAGACAAAGCCCAACTTGCCTAACTGTGTGTGTAGCAATATGGAGTCAAGCTCTTGCTGTATGGGCAGGAATACAAAGATTTTGCAAGAACATATTGAAAAGGTCTTGCAGAATTTTGTTTTTGAAACAGGAAATAAGAGAGTAAAGGAATTCTCTTTGCTGCCCATTTCTTAAACTTTTTAGCTAATCTGTAAAAATTTCAGTATTTGCATTCTGCTGTGACTCTGGTGTCAGATTTTTTTTCCTCAGACTGAGCTAATGGCAGCCTCACTGAATATATTATGTGAAGATTCAGAAGAATCTTATCCTCACTGTTGGGGAGATCACTTTGTAGCAGAGTGATTGCTGTGAAATGTCCTTCCCCCACAGTGCCATTGTGGGCAGCTTGGGAACATGATGCATTTTTCTCCCTGGTGTTAGCTGCAGTCCATGCTCCCTGTGTCTCTGTTTCTTCTGGGGAGGCTTCGGAAGCTGCTCCAAGGCAGCTGGTCTCAGAAATGAGCCCAGGCACACTGTCCTTGGGTTTGCAGCTCAGTTGTGTTAAAGGCCCACACAGAAGGCAGGGTAGGAGTTGAGTTCATGTGAAGGCCTCAGGTTGGGATGCAGGAAAAGAGTAAACAAAAAGAACATAGGAGAGGTTTGGCTCCTTTGATGCTCAGAGCTGCTGGCTGACCCAGACCTGTTGGTGGTGGGGGTTGCATTGTAGGGGCTCAGGCTTGAGTGATCCTGGAGGAGGCTCGTGGTGTAAAGAAGCCAGCACCAAAGGAAGAGCATGATGCTGTCATCTTCTGTCATGGACCTTCAGATGGCCGGACACTGGCTGTCTGAAATGCAGAAATTCAGTTTAAGGCAGTGTTGGAAGTTTCTATTTGAGCAACCATACCTGGGCTTGTTGCCTGCCTGTTGTGCGCAAAAGAGACGTTTGCACTTTTCTAGAGGATAACTGATGTCTGTACATGGAAACCTCAGATATCAGTATAGCACAGTTAATGAAAATTGTGGGCTTAATCAGTTCTGCCTGATCACCAAGACGGGAGAGCAGTCCTGAATATAGGTGTTTCAATTGGTGTATCTCTTATGTGTTAAGGCTGAATATGCAGTTAAGTAACTTAATGCAGAAATAGTGGTGCCTTTGGGCACACACACGTTCTAATGAGGTGAGATTTGTCCCATGTTTAAGGAGGCTGAAAATCAGTCATTGGCATACACCAATGTGTACTAAAATATGATATGGATCTTAGTATATATTTATTATATTGTTATTATATATATAGTTATTATAGATATACTATATATCGTAGTTATTATCTATGATATCCTCCAGTAAGCAAATACTAGTAATGGGGGTAACTGGCTGACATTTTTAATAAGCCATAAAGGCCCTGGGCACCTGTAGTTTAAACCTTTCAGTGGCCTTACTTTGGGACACCAAATGAGTTGTATTATACAAACACTATGAAATATTGCAAAGTCAAAGCTGCAGGGTCACAATTCCAGAATTCTTTCTCTGTGCAGACAGAGATAGGAGAGGTAAAGAAGCAGTCCAGACATCAGAAGGGCAAAACTAATGGTGGAGACATGGAGGGCAAGGGCTACTTTCACAGATCTATTAAACACTCTTTGCTTTATGAAATTTAAGGGGCTGTTGGATTTCTAAAACTTGCAATTACCAACCTAAAGTTATACTAATCTTTCTCCCAAGTCCCTACAAACAGTTTGCTTACCAGAAGTAATCACAATTTGTATTTTTGGTGACTTACTTTACTGGGATTAGCACCTAAATATGACTAGTTACGAAAATGAATGATCAAGTCAACTAATATTGAGGGCTATTTCATGTTCTGTTTATTTCATTCTCCGTAAATCCATGCAGAGGAAACCACTGCTGTTGTCCTTATGTAAACTAAGAGAATATAATGCCCCAGTAATAGATAGAACTTGTTTCCTGACTTCTGGTTTTTGTTTTGTTTGATAGTGCAGATTTGGTAAATTGCTGACTTCTCACAGCTCTAAGGTCTTTAGGGAAGATGAACAATTTACCTGTCCAAATAACTTTTCGTATGAGATGACATTTTCAGAGATAATTAGAACTGTGAAATGTATGTTTGTCATGGTCTTACTTGGAAGGAAGTTGTTCAGTGTGGACTAGAGTTGATATTCTGTTGTGGCTGGTTTATGTGTCTTTATTTGGGGAAGGTAGGGAGAATAAGTTGGAGGTTTGGAACGAGTTTTGGCTCTTTTGGACCACTGCAACTAATTGCTAGGGGTGGTAATCTCAGTGATGTGAAGTTCGTACAGCTTTATAGAAAACTAGTGTCTGGGTAGTGAAGAGGTAACCTGTTGTCAGGATATTGCCTCCCCTGAATGAGGCCAATGTGAACTTGCACAGGTGATGCATAGGGCAGCAGCAACGTCCTGAGGAGGGCTGGCCAGGAAGGAAGGAAGGAGTGTTGCCCAGCAGGTACATGAGCTTCAGCTCGGGCTCCTGTGTTGTGTGCTGAAACAGCCCCGTAGAGCTGTGTGGGGGGTGTATGTAGTGCATTCTCCCACCCTCCTGCTCCTGTTTTGGATGTGTACAGCACCAGTTGTTGCTAGCCTCTTCAGTAAAGTTTTCATGTCTCTTCGAAAATTCCTTTTGTAGTAAATGTACTGTTTTACCTTTAACTTGATAGGTGATGGATTTTTGGTTCTAATTACAGAAAAATTCTTTGCTATTTTTTGCATTAAGTAGTTTAGTATCACTTCTGAATTACTTTTCCTAGGTACTAGTGTTACAGGCTTGTATCTCTTATACCATCACCTGAAGATGGTATTTTTGGAAAATATCCAGGTATTTTGTTCTTAGATTTCTGGTTTAGAGGACTGTGCTTCAGTACTGATGCCTATGATCCTCTCAAACACTTATTTAGAAAGTGCTACTCAAATATTTTCAGAATACTGGGATTTCTGCAAATGCAAAGAAGGCAGCAGAATGAAAAAGCAATATGCAAACTTCAAAGTTCAACTAAATTCTAATTTTAAAATAAAATATGTTAATTTAGCAGATAACTAAAAAAAAGTTGCTTTTCTGAAAATCAGTAAGTATGAGGGCATTTAACCCTGCGTCCTCTTGTGGATCCAGATGTACAGGGTATATTTGAAGGTAGTATCTCTAA